GCACACCAGTGTCTCGGGTGTCAGGTGGGATCCTACAGCCCTACTCAGGGTCAGTGTGGGGACTCGGCAAGACGAAGCCTGTCACCCAGCTCGTGGCCACCAGGTGCTTGGAAAGGGCAGCAGCTGTGGTCTCTGAGGTAGTAACAGGGGACAGTGGTGGGCTGTGGCAGCCAGAAGTGACCTCTCCTGGCTGTGTTGCATGTGGGACAGTTCTCTGGGCATTCGATTTATTCCCACAGGTGTGGCTAGCTCAGGTGACCACCCCGGTGTCTCTTGGACGTGCAACACCTCCGTGTGTCACTGTCAGAGGCCAGGGGTCAGTCCACGGAGCCACCAAGGTCAAGGTCAGCAGGGCTCAGACCAAAGTGCCCTCCAAGAGCCTGCAGGGAATGTGGGCAGGCTGGCCCTGTCCCTGGATTTGTTTTAGTGGGGGAAGGCTGTAAAAATGAGTTTTTAATGGAAAATGTGAACTATTTCACTGCTCTGTTTAGATTTTGTTTTCCTCGAGGTGTAATTTACACGTAGTGAAGGCGGAGGTCTAAGTCTACGGTCTGGGATTGGGGAGTTTTGGCAGCTGCATCTTGGCTGTTTACTGAGGTGTCCACCCACAATAGGCAGCTGGGGACGGTCATTCCCAGCCTAGACTCAGGACCTCGCCTCCACTCAGCCCCCTGCTCTCTCCTCCCCACCAGACTTGATGACTCAGGCTTTGCGCCATGCCCCCTACCACAGCCCTGTGGGCTGGAGACGCCCCCAGCTCCGGGACCTGTGGTGATTGAGGTCATGGCCACCTTGGGTTATGGAGGCCGTACCAGCCCTTGGAGGAAGGTAGAGGCTGTCCATCATCATACTGACCCTGGTGAGCTACCCGTGACCCCATTTGGAACCTTCAGCCTTCGAGATTATTTCCATTTAGATGACTGCTTTGTTTAATAGTTTACTGCAGGCTGGAGGGACTGGCTCGGCTTCGTTTTCAGCTAAGAGGCCGGAGGTGCACAGGTCAGACAGCTGGCAACTGGGGGAGCTGGGCCCACACCCCACTGGTGCACTCCAGACTGGCTGCCCTACCTGTCGCTCACCTGGCCAGAGCCTGCACTGAGCCTGGAAACTGTGAGCCCATGTCCAGGGGCAGAGCACAGTCCCTGCCTGTCAGATCATAGAGCTGCAAGGACCCGGGGCCTGGGGCAGGGCGGGAGACCAGGGCCCCACCTACCTGGGAGCACAGCTGGGGGCTCCTCCCACCCACATCCACCAAACCAGCCCTGGCTGGGACTCAGCTCTGCTGGCTCAGGAAACCCCCACATCACCGAGGACTGGCTCTGTCAGGCAAGGAGATCCGGCTATGCACTGCACTGCACAGTGACACTGCTGTGACTGTGCAGTGTGGGAATGGAGACCAGCATGAGGGGGCTGGACCACCCAGAGTTCAAACTCTGGCTCTGTTTTTTTTGGGGGTTTTTTTTTAACAGTACTGGGGATTGAACCCAGGCCTTCCACTTGCTAGAAAAGTGTTTTACCACTGAGCTACATCCCTAGCACTTTTTATTTTGAGACAGAATCTCATTAAGTTGCCCAGGCTAACCTGGAACTTGAGATTCTCCTGCCTCAGCCTCCTGAGTAGCTGAGATTATAGGCGTGTACCACCATGCCCAGCTCTGGCTCTGCTTTTTATTGTGTGACCTTGGTCCAGTCATTTAACTCCTGTACCTCAAACTTCCCGTGTGTAAAGGTGGGATACAACAATAATTGTGGGACCAACTTCTTAGGGTTATTTTGAGAATTAATTGAATGAAGACATGTAAGAGAGTGGAATACATAGTGTGAGCTCAGGAAGTATTAGCAAAGGCAGAATTGTTATTATAACATATAATAATTATACTATTATTTAGACCTTGGTTTGGGGAGGCTGAACTTACACTCCTGTAACTCACTGAGAACCTTAGAGGTCTTACAGATTGCCTCCATGTTACTAGGTGGCTGCTGCTGTTCCAGGCAATAAGTCCACTTTTCAAGATAAAAGGGGATGACAGCGCAAAGCCATTTTTTCTTAAAGGGTGGTCTTCCTCAGGGACTTTATCAATACCTCATTGGGCAGAACTGGGTCACATGGGTAACCCAACTCCAAGGGAGGCTGGGAAGTCATGCTTTTGAAAGCAAGACTCGGCTTTAACAGACTAAAAAAGATGGGCTACAGAAGGGCAGTCTTTCCCAGCCCCTTTTGCTACCGAGTATGACTGGTCCTCGGAGTGGGCACTCTCCACCATCCCCTTGCCCTTGGGGAAGAGGCTACTGGGGGCCCCACCCTGGCCTGCCTGCTGGACAGGTTGCCCTGAGACAGCTCGATTGGTGACTGCGATTATGACTTCCCCCACCACCAGAGCACTCTGCTGAGTCGGGGGCTTTTTTGGCCTGCTTTTCCACCCCTTCCTGCCCCACCCTGTGTCCTAGTGTGCTGTGGTTGCCCAGCGTCGGCGGAAAGGTACACAATCACTCTTGGTGCTTCTGTCCTTGGGCACAGGCCAGGTCGGTTGCTCTGGAGAGGGCAGCTCCTTCCTCTGCAGCTCTCCTGCCCTCAAAGCCCATGTTCACCAGTGTCTAATAAATGCCCTTTCTTCTTTCTCCGTCTCGTGTTACGTGGGCCACACCGACCACGAAGACTTCATGCAGGGTGGCTGCAGCCCTGTGAGTGCACTGATTACCTGTAGACGGCCACCACGGTGCACAGTGCAGCTGCCAACCAGAGCCCGAGCCCTCTGAGCACTGGTGATAGGAAGACCCACCAAGGGATGGTGACTTTTCCACCCTCACATAGCAAGGCAGTGGCCCTCTGAGACAGAAACCAAGCCTTCCAAGTCATTTTGTTGTTTCTGAGAAAGTGGTTTGTACTGAGGGGAGGGCAAGCTGTGGTGCATATTACTGGTGCCCACATAGCGTGAGTGTGCTAAGCACATTTCCACACCTTACACTTGCGTCTTTTGAGATTTTGGGGGCGCCTGGTACACACTAAGCAAGTGATGCCCACCAAGCCCCACCCTCAGTCCCTACACCTGTCTTCCTTGTTCTGGTCTCCCTCATTTCACAGGTGAGGCTGGGAGGGGACAGGCTCACCATGGCACCCAGGGCTCTGGTCTGGCTTAGGCCTGCTGTACCTGTTCACCTACGACACCTGACTTCCACACCCACCTGGGGCAGGTGCACTGGGTAAGCAGTAAGCCTCTGCTCTGCTTTCCTCAGAGTTGTTTTTCCAGCCTGGTCTCCTAAGGCCCCACTGTTGCAGGTGCCACACCTGTGTCCCACTGCTCTCACTCCCAGGTGATTGTTCAGAGCCTGTGGGAGGGGTGGGGCCTCAGTTCAGAGATGCTGTTGGGAAGGCGCTCGAATGCCTGGAAGGGCCCTGGCCCTGGCCTCAGCTCAGTCTGGCTCTCCACTGGACACAAGGACACTGCCGGATGCTGTTCCTGGCCTCCAGGGTGCTCCGGCAAAGGCACCCACTTGACCACCCAGTGGCCCTGTGCCACCATCCCCATGGGGTGGGAGTGAGATTGCTGAAATGAAACGCAAGATCCCCAGTTAAATTGGAATTCAGATAAATGTACATCGTTTCCAACCTAAATATGTTTCATGCACCGATTGAAAAACACACCAGCTAAAAATGATCTTGTTTATCTGAAGTTCATGTTTCACTATGCATCCAGGGCTTGGTTGTTTGTTTTGTTTTGTCACATCTGGCAACCTAAGTATGCAGCACTTATACGGCACGTATGATAACCAATACCCAGAGAAATGACACTGGACACATGCAGGGTCATGAGATGACCCTGACCAGCCCTGGATCGCTGCCTTCTCCATAGATGGTAGTAAATGACCATGGTCACTTCCTTGGGTGGTTTGAGGAAGCCTAGAAGTCAGTCCCCTAAACAAAATTAAGCAAACAAAAATGAAAAATCACACTTGTCTTGTGCCTGCATGGTAATGGTGTATACATGGACACGCGTTAGCAGTCATTCACGCTTTATTATGAACAGACTCTTGGTGACAGTGAGTGGGAGCAGAGGAACATCCTAGCAGGATGGGAAAGTATTGATGTAGGGTAGAAAATTCCACAGCCCTGAGTCCTGCTGGAAATGACAAGCCAGAGCTTTTATAATCTGACCCCTCCGGCCACCCTCTTCCTCCTTCTCACTGCATCCCCAGGTGCTGGTGGCTCAGGGGCCTCTGTTTTCCAGCCTCCTAGCCTTTGTCCATGCTGTTCCCTTTCCCTTCCCTCAAAGGGGGCCTAGTGCTCCAAACACATGCAGCCCATATGCGCATTTTGCTCGTGCCACTTCCAGGCGGCCTGGGTGTCCCTCCTGACTTCTGGACACTTGCTCTGGGTCTGGAGCATAGGTGCCCACCAGGGCTGGCCTAGCACGAGGGCAGGGCAGGCCCTAAAGCAGACCTCTGGTCTTGCAGTTCAGCTGAGGCACTTGAATGGACCCCTCAATGTGCAGGGTCTGTCAGTGTCCCTGGTGCATGGGGCCTGTCTGGGGCTCACCCCAGGGCCAGAGAGGCCACCATGCCCTCCTTGGGCTCATCCCTGGGGACCTGCTGGATGCAGGGCCAGATAAAGTGCCTCTGCCATGGTGCCACACCCATCTCAGGCAGGGCAGCGAGCTAGGAAGCCCCAGGGGCTGTGTGCTCCGTGACGAATATTTCTCACAGCACCATTGCCCTGTGGACCTGGACCTCTGGAGTCAACCAGGCCCCATTCAGATCTGCCTCTTCCTGGCTGTGGGACCTCCTGCCATTGCCAAATCTCTCCCAAGTCTCAACATTCAGCATCCTAGTCTGGAAACACATGTGACTGTACTTGACTCAGCTTTCAGGCAGCAAATGAGATGGTGCACATAAAGCATAACCCGGCATGCTACTGGCCTGCAGTGACAAGGCCAGCTCCTGGAAGCTGTCCCCAGGTCAAACTGGCAAGCAGCATCCTCTAACCCTGTGCCCTTCTCCCCTAGTGCTCCTGCGAGAAGAGGTGTCCCGGCTCCAGGAGGAAGTGCACCTTCTCCGGCAGATGAAGGAGATGCTGGCCAAGGACCTGGAGGAGTCTCAGGGCGGCAAGGCCTCCGAGGTCCTCTCAGCCACCGAACTCAGGGTGCAGCTGGCGCAGAAGGAGCAGGAGCTGGCCAGAGCCAAAGAGGCCTTGCAGGGTGAGTGATGAGCGTGCTCCTGCAAGGGCACCCACCATGCTTGGCTCTGCTTTGGGGGGATCCTGCCTTTCTCAGGGTGGTTGTGGACCTGGACCACGCATGTTCTTCATGGCTGCTCGTGTCCGCTTCCCTCCAGTGTGAATGGTGAGTGGGCATCTTTGTGGCCCAGGGTGCTCCTGTAGTGGCTGGGTGCCTGTCCCCTGCACTCTTGGTGCCTCTCCTCGTGGCATAGTGTGTACAGGCTGGTTTCTGTGCCAGAGAAGTGTTCGTGTTGCACACTGCTCTCTGGCACATAGTGAGCCCTCTGGGAACAGGTGGGCCACATTGCTTGGTCCTTCACAGCTTCCCGCTGGGGCAGAGTTGGAAGATGATGTGTTTCGGGTGTCCAGATGACCTCTCAACAAGATGGGCCACAGACCCTTGACCACTTTGTGTCCAGAAATTGCTTTAGCAAGGGAGGAAGCCAGTGGGCCGTGGGATTGCTGCTCGGGACCCCACAGCTCTTGTGGCTGTCTCTCCCTGTCTCCCCACTCACACTCTGGGGTTCAGGGAAGGTCTGGGGTTGTTTGAGAAGGGCCAGAAGCCATTGTCTAACCCTTCAACTGGCACTGTGCTTGGAGAACTTAGGCATGAACCATCTGGGAAGAAAAGAGCCTTTGAGGTCTTTATTGGTTCTCGTGAGCCTCTGAATGTCCTTGCTTCTCCTGAAGAAAAAAAGAAAAAAAAAAAAAGCAATGAAACTGCAATCTGCTTTCCACTTACCATTTACAATGACTTCATTCGTGATGCCAAAGCCGGTTTATTAGGTTTGATATCATCCTCTTATAAGAGACCCCAGAATACTGGCTTAAAGAATCTGATTCTCTTTTAAACTCCCCCCAGAGCTCGTTTCAGAGTGGTGGGTGTCTGTGCCCTTCTTGGTCTGTAAGAGACCCGGGAGAGAGTCCCAGCCCAGGCTCTGAGGTTGCTGTTGGCAGGTGCTTGACCGAGGCCCTGTCTTGCTGCTGTTTTTACCTGGCTGTCCCTGTCTACTAGGGACTGCGTCTCTGGTGCAGGGCGCAGGGGGAATGCACTGCTGCAGTGTGTCAGGTTCCCTGCCTGGAAGTGGTCTGTGTTGCTGGCCATTACATGTACAGCACTCCACTCACCATCCCCGGGAACTTGGGGGCAGTATCATTCAGGATGAGCCCATCCTGAGTCCTTAGCAGGCTTGATAAAGACTCTTCTCAGCAATCCATGTTGCTCCCAAAGGCAGGTGGACCCTCCTCTTCTGTTGGGATTTTGCTTCTGGTGGGTCACCAAGATAGGTGTGGGCCGTGGTGGCCCAGCCGATGCTGCATGCTCAGGAGTTCATTTCGCAAGTATGCCTGCTTTTCTTTCACACAGCCATGCTACATTCCAGGCGAATCCCTGGGAGCTTCCCTTCAATTTCAGCTTCACAACCTCTGTTCCCCTCCCAGCCTGGAGCCCAGTCCTGGGACTTTCCCGAGAGAGATGCTGCCAGCCCAGGCTGCATAGCTGAGGTCTCTGGTCTTCCTGTGGAGTTAGGACTGGTGCAGGAAGTAGCCAAACACTGTCTCAACCTCCTTTTCCAGAACCTATTCCAGGGACAGAACTGCCTTCCCTGTACCTAGCTGGGATCAGAATTCCAGTGTCTTCTGGACCCGGGAGGAAGAGGTTCCTGGGCCCAGGGTTTTGTCCTGTCCCTCCCCAGCTCCTCAGGCCTCATCCCAGCTTCTACAAATTTAACTCTCCAGACCACAGTGATGGGACAGGAATGGTGCCTTCTGGGAGGAAGTGGGAACTGAACAAGGCTGTGTGTGTGAAGAGGGTAGTCTGCCCTAAACTGTGCTCCTTCCCCTCCAATGTTCAAGGCACTGGTGTGCACGTCACCCCTGCTTTTGTGTTCAAGATACACCCAAGGCAGTCTGTGCATGCCTGAAACCACAGATAGTGCCAGACTCTACCCTGTGTGTTCCGCTGTGTATAGATACCTTATAAATTAGGCATAGTAAGAGAGTAACAATAACAACTACTAATAAAACAGGACAATTATAATAATGTACTGGACTAAAGGTTATTTAAAATTCATGAATTATTTATGTCTAGAAATTTTTGTGTGCTCTTTTCAGCCTGTGGTTGACCACGTGCAGGTGGAACTGCAGAACAGGAATCTGTGGATTAGAGATGGCTGCCGGGCAGGCATTTCTTTCCACCTCTGGGCCAGATGACATTCCATCTACTGATCTGCCCACAATATGGGCAGCAAGAATTTGGGGAAGCTTGATGCTTACACTAAACGCATTATCTCTCTTTTGCTGTAGTCCTGCTAGGAGCTGCTAACCAGTGGTCACAGACTAAGATGCCCAAATAAGGAATGGGAAGGTTAAGTAACTCGGCCAGGGTCACAGAGCTAATTAGCAGCAGTCAGACGCTTTTCTACTATCCCGACACAGCACATCTTACCTCTGGGTATCAATGGGAATGGAGTTGGCCTGCACGGGACAGACAAGGCCATCAGTTCAGTCATGGGGACGGCAGGTTCCAGAGTCAGTCCTGGACTCCCAGTACCAGCTCTCCCATTTTCTAGCTGTGTGACCTTTGATAAATTACTCAGCCTCCCTGAACCACACATAGTTCCTTTGCTGAGGATAATAATAGTTGTGCTTCTTATAATTGGAGCCAATAATAGTAGCAGCTTCATAGTCTGTGAAGATTAAATGAGATATAAATTGCTTGGCTCCGTGCCCAGTTCTCAGTGATGATCAGCTGGGTGGGGATGTGGCAGCCTCCTTGGATCTGCTTGGAGCTGTCAGTTGCTGATCCTGGTTAGGGGTGGCCCAGACTTGTGACACCCCCTGAACTCATTCCTGCTCAGGGCAGCGGCATCCCTGCAGGGCATCAAAGTAGGTACCTCCAGCCACCCCAAGCATCCTGCTGGCATTCTCCAAAGCCATACGTAAGATGCTTCCTCGCCAGCATAGGACGTGGTGTGGAAATTGCAGACAGATGTGGGCAGGAGGAGACTGGGGCACGAGGAGGGATTTAGATGACATAATGAAGAGAATGAAGATAAATGCACAAGCAGAGGAGGCGGCAGATGCTGGGTGACACTTGTTAACAGCCACCGTCCCTGTGATGGGAAAAAGCAGAGCCCCCAAAGGCTTCCACTGCGGCGGATCCCCTGCACCCACCCACCCTGGCCTTGTGGTTTGGGTGAGACCTGCATTTTCCAGCATGGGAGAGGATTAGGAGCTCCAGCAGACACCTGGAATGCAGCCCGCAGTGCCAGCATCAAAGCAGTGCAGAGAATGGAGTTGGGGGAAAGTGGGGGCTCAGAAGCCTCCTTTGTTCCTTCAGGCGGGCACGTGGGACTGTTTGCTTGAGGAATTTGGGTGCCGAGCTTAGAAACAGAAGCCCTGAATGGTGAGGAAAGAGCTGAGTCTCTGTGTGTGAATGTGGCCCTGGTCCCGGGTGGCCCTATCCTGCACACGGCCAAGCCTGCAGCCAGGGAGCCAGGGGCCCTGTGTCTGTGGGGTGCTTGGGCCTCCTCAGTGTCATGGTTTGCCTGTGAACCATGGCGTCACAGAAATGATGGTGATTAAAATTTGCCTCTTTCATTTGTTAATCTCCTAACAGCATGTTGAATGTGCTGAGCATTTTCCCACAACAATAAAAATTCTTCAAAAACATAATTTTAATGACTATATAATGTTCTACCAAATGGAGGTTCCATAATTTATGTAGCCATTTCCCTGTTATTGGACATTTAAGTCATTTGCACTGTTTCTCTGTCTCTTTCTCTTTTGCCATTACATAACACAATAAAGGTAACCATGTTTGTTTCCTTAAGGCAGCATTTCTCAAACTTTTTGGCCCAAAAAACAGTTTACATGCCTCTGAAATGGAAGACCCCATAGAGTTTTAGTCTCTGTGGTTTAAATCTATTGCTACTGACCTTTCTAGAAATTAAAACTGAGAAAAGTCTAAATCTTCACTAACTTATTTTTTAAATAACAATAATAAAACCATTATATGCCAGCATAGATAAAATTATTTTTGAATGAAAAGTAACTATTTTCTCAAACAAAAAGACTTGAGTAAAGCGCAGCTTTTTAAAAAAATATTTTTGTGAAAACTGCCTGATGCCTGGCTCAGAGCAGCCTGCCACCCCCTCTGCTCCCACAATCTGTCGTGGTTTGTTGTTTAGTTTAAAATTGGGCATCACAGATATGTAGTTGGAAAACAGAGGCGTGTATTAATTGCCTGATTACATAATTGTGGATATTCTTTTCTAATGCCGTGCTAAAACTCGCTATGTGGCATTTTCTTGAAAGCTCATTATAATGTGGAATCCAAAACCTTAGCCAGTGAAGTCTTTGCACTCTGCTCCATTGAGTCCATTTGCATGTTGGATGGAGAGTTTACCCACGTGTGATTCTTTAAACATCACACATTGATCAGCATATTTCATCACGCAGTATCATAAAGTCCGTGTGTTGACATCACCTCCGAGGTCACCAGAAAAGTACAGAGAAGCTTTTAAAGTCCTGGTGGCAGATCAGGTTTGCTAGAATTCAGATTTTTTACTTGAATGCCCAACTTCTGTCACTTGCAACAAATGCTGTCAGCTGTTTTCCAGCAGGTAAAGAAAGGGTCCTTGGAGCTCATTTGTGAGCATAGTTCATTGGCTTTCAGACACCAGGTTGCTGGGCAAGTCATTTCTTCAGGCACAGGTAGGCTTCCAAAAGCAGTGGTTAGTTAAGCTTGCTACTCAGACAGACACACAGCTGTTTCTCCTAGAGACAGCTGCTGACCTTTTGTAGGCAGAAGACCATAAATGTACCTCCCATTTGATTAGGAGATGTGTAATGAGGGGATCAAGCTCTAAAAAAATTAATCGTTTTTACTATTTCATCAATCACATCCGTTTTTTCTTAAGAGCTAAGAATTGAACCCAGCATCTTGCATATGCTAAGCACACACTCTACCACTCAGCC